AAAAAAAAAAACCTTTCAAGATACTTGGAAGAGAGGAAGAATGCTAAAAACTAGGGCTGTGCAATCAACAAAAGAGAGTTCAAATCCTGACTCCATAACTTCCTGTGTGTCTTTATGCAGGTCACTTAACATCTCTGAGCCTCCAGTCCTCATCTGTAAATCTTAGCACCCCTTATTGGGGGGGGGGTTCATGAGGATTAAATGAGACTGAAAGTACATAAAGCCTTAACACAGTGCTAGGTGCAGCACAGACAATATGAAACATTAGCCAACTATTCTTGTTTGTATATAACACAGAGGGAGGGTGTCAAAGTACTATCCCACGTCAGCCTGGCCTTCATTTCTATGCCATCTGCCTCACTGTAACCACCCAAAAGCTGCCACATCTAATAAGCAAGCTGTTGTTCAGACTTTAGTGTTTCACCCAAAAATCTTTTCAATGAAGTATACCTTCCTAAGACGTTGTAATAAAAGACTTCAAGAGGTTAACAGTTTATATTCCCAAGTAAACTGCCAAAAAGTGCTACACACTGCCAAAAAAAAACCCAGAATAAATAAAAACAAAAAGCAAAACAAGAAACTGCCAAGGCAGATGCAGCAACGAGTCCAACTGTTCTGATTCCAAACCAAATCTGACGCTGGGCCCTGCATCACAAGTTTTGCTAATTTGCTAATCTCTCAACACCAAAGTCCTTCATCTGATGGCAATTTTCAAATTTGGTTTCCCTAAGGTGACCTGATTTAAATCAGTAAATATGAACTCTACCTCTCGAGGAACCTCAGCCAGAAAGACACAAAAGATCAACAGTCCACGCACTCACACAACTAAAGCCCATATTTAACCCCTTTCATTCTATAAGCTAGAGGGACCTAGGAGCAAGGTCCTCTGGTCTTGGCATCCCACAGCAATGCTTCATCACCAGCAATACTTACAGCGAAAGAAATCCTTCTGAGATGGGACAGGACACTAAGTGCACTCCAAACACAGAATGCTTTCCATCAACTTCCAAAGAAAATACAAACTAACTTTTAAGAACTGTGCTACGTATGGACACCTATTTTGCTAAGAAATGTGTAAGATAACTCTTATGTAGCCATCAAACTATCTTCAGGTGTGATGTTCCCCAGCACACCAAGTGTGTAAACTGAAGTGCACTCATATTTAACACGCCTTGGAAAATCAACCCTGCCATTGGTTTCAGCAGACTGCCTGCCGTAGGCCTGTTAAGATCTTTCATTTGTTTTCTTACACTGACTGATTCAGGGGGACAAAACAAGCTGTGCAAATTCAATGATTTGTTAATATTCTACGAAGGCATTCTGATTTTCCAAAAGCTAACCTGACGGCATGAAACGTCCCATAAAAAGCAAATACCATAGAAATGTGAAGTCATCAAAACAGCCCTGCCTTATTTTTTTTCACTGGGAGAAGCTGAAAAAAGACAACAGATGCCGACTTGCCTTTTGTAATGTAATCTGCTGGGGAACTCAATAGTACCAGCAACATTGCCATCACTCATCAAGAAAATGTCTTCATCACCTCGTGCTGTTCCCCACACAGCCCCAACACCCCTCTACCAACATACAGGAGTGAACCCATTCACACACACACACACACCCCAATTCTGTGTATATTCCATCCTTCACTTTCACACTGGACACCAGTTAAGAAGATCTGAGTTAACTCATCTAAAGAGGCAAGATGTATGCTAGGTAGATGGTGACACTGGATATAAATGTAAACAAAGAATAAACAACAGGGACATGCATCGGACTCATTTATCCAGTTTAATTTCCCAAAACACTGTTAATATCTTTTTCTTCAGCATGCTATTATCATACAATTTAGAACAAGAGAGACCAGAGCTGAAGTGCAGCTGTCTCCCCCCCCCAATACCTCAAAAGTCCTTTGTTTAGGAATGTCTGTATCTCAGCACCTTTCTAACAGCTCACTGCCTGCCATCTACCGCTGCTAATTAAATGGAGAAGTACAGAATGAAAGGGAAAGCGCCTCAAAGTGTAGAAGAGCCTGGGAGAGGAGAACCCCCTGGGTGAAAGAAAAATGATCCTTTTCACCCATCCCCAGGTAACTGCACCAAAAAGGAAAATTATTTTACACGAGCACAGCATGGCAAAGTAATCAAAAACGTATATCACACATTATTTGCATTGTGATCATTCTTTGATAAACTACATACCACAGCAAGCCTTACCTAGCCCTGTGAAGAAAAAGTCATACCCCCAAACACTCTCCCCACCCCAAGATAACTATTCCATTACACACTTACAAAGCACGCGCGCGCACGCACACACACACACCCCATACCAGAGCAGCAAAGCTGGTGAGAGAGAAGCCATAACGTGGGCAGGTCTAGATAATAGCCTCTCCACTAACCCCGCCCCCAACACCAGAGAAAGAGGGGACCTCGGAAAAGAAAGGAGAGGAAGAAAGAGAAAGCCAGAAATCCTCGGATCTCCAGGCATCAACTTTTCATGAAATGCACAACCAGGATAGGAAATACCTCCCTGCTGAGTAATGCTTCATGGGTTGTAAATTCACCTCGCGAAAGGGGAGCCAGACCTGAGCTCTCACCCCGCCAGATGGCAAACCCCTCCTACCTGCTCCATCCAGCCTGCGGGTCACGCCGCGCCAGCGACAGGCCTCCCACCCCCCCTTTTTGGCAGAGCAACACACCAATAAGAGCCGAGCGTAGCTGAGGATCGTTTCCAAAGGGGGGAGTGGGAAACCGCGAGGAGAGAGTGAGGGTAAAAACAAAGCTCTTTCCCCTCAAACCGACAGCCTTGGGGGCGTGGCTTATTTGATTTGCTTTATTAGTAAAGGCGATCAATTGAGCTTTTGTCTCCACCCCACCTACCCGGGAGGTGCCGGGCTTTGAATCCTTGGGAGGAGAAAAAAAAAAAAAAAAAAAGGCAGGGCTGCAAGCTTCCTCCAAGTTTCCAGTAGCACCTGCCACCAAGCTGGCCGTCCTCCCTCACCAAAAAGACCCCGAGATCCACACTCCTGGTTTCGGCTCTGCAAGCCAGAGCGACAGACACACCCAGCTCGAGCGTCTTGCCCACTCCCACCGGGATAAGCACACACTCATCAGAGCACTTGCTGACACTATCATCGGAAAGTTCCGGGGGGAGGGGGGTGAGAACAATTCAGGTTCCTCCGCGGCCCCGGGCTCCCCCGCCCGGCGCGGGCCCCCAGCCGAGACCCAGACGTGATACACATCATGGACTCCCAGGCTGCAAGGGCGAGAGGCGGAAAGTTGCCCAACAGTCCGGGAGACGCGGCTGGGAGAGGAGGGGGAACACGGGGCCAGAGAGGAGCACGCGCCCTCCTCCCACCCCCAAGGCGGAGAAGAGGCCGAGGGAACCCCGGCTCGAAGGGCGTCGCGCCGCTTTATTTACAAACAATGCACTCCGTGGAGGGCTGGGGAGCTGGGGACGCGAGCGCGGGGCAGATGGGCCCGAGCACACCCCCCCGCCCCCAGCCGGGCCCCGCCGCCCCGCGCCCCGCGTTTGCGGTTCCGCCGCAGGCGCGGGGAACGCGCACCCCGGGGGGTCGGCCCAGTCCCCACCCCCTGCTGGCGCAGGACAGGAACTCCCCGGGGAGTCCCAGGCGGGAGGGGGGCGCCGCTCACCTCGTCTTCCGAAAGTCCGTAGACCGGCTCCCCGAGCCCGGTCGCCATGGAGCCGGCGCCCCGCGCGGGCTCCGAGGCTCTCCCCGGCGGCTGGGCTGCGGCGCGGGCGGCCGGTCTTCTCTCCTCCTGCGCGCCCGGCCTGCGCGCGTCCCGCCGGAGAGCTGCCGGACGCCGGCAGGTGAGGGAGCCCGAGCGCGCGCCCCGGCCGCTGCCTGCGCCGCTTCCTCCCGGAAGGCTGCGGGGCCGTGCGGGCTGGCGGTGCTGAGAGCGCGCCGTGCAGCGGGCGGCGGCGCGGAGCCCGCCGGGCTTTCCCTCCCCGCTCGCCCGGCCGCCGCTCTCCGCCCCTCTCCGAGCCTGCTCTCGGATCTCCGGAACCCGGCTCGCCCGCCCCCTCGCTCGCTCCCTGCGGCCCCCGCTCTCTCCGCCCTGTCCTCCGCCTCCTCCCACCCGGCGCCCAGAGGGGACCCTCCCCGCCTCGCTGGGGCGGGCACACGCGCCCCCCAAGCCAATCACAGGCCCGCCTGCGGGGGCGGGCGGCGGGCTGCGGGGTGGCGGGGTTCTGCCCCCACGCCCACCCCGCCCCCAGGCCTTCCGAGCCGCGCTCGGGGGCTCACCCGGCCTCGGGGCTGGTCCGCCCGGGGTTGGGAGGGAAAGGAGGGTTGCGGGTGCGGGCTTCGCCTTCCGAGCTGACCCACCCTCCCCTTCTAGCTTTCCCTCTGTTTGGGGGAAGGGGCGGCCTGGGCATTTGGGGGGGGGGTTGTTGAGGGCATTTTCCCCAAGGGGGAAAAAAAAAACACAAAACCCGCTCAGTTCATTCCTCTTCTCCATGGTCTTTTTACCCAGAGCCCTAAGCTCGTCGTAACTGTTAATGGGGGAAACGTGGATGTTTCGAGACCCCTTTAAATTCTTGGCAACCCCAGCCAGCGGGACTCAGCTACGCTGTCAGGTCCCTGGGGCCGATCCGCCCGGCCCGGCCGCCTGCCGGGGAGAGGCTGCCCCGGTGTGGCCGCGAGTCGCCACTGCCTGTGTCAACCTTACAGGGCACAAAACCAACACGGCGCCCGCTCTGGGTACACACCCACCCACTCGGAAACAGACAGCCTTGTTCTTTGAATAAAAGACAGCTCATTTGTGAGCCGCAAGGTGAAATATCAAACTCAAGTTTAAGGTTATCCTCTGCATATGCAAACCCTTAAGACGTCTTATTAGGCACCGCAGGATTCTTCCCACATTCCAGGTACTCTTCTTTAGCAATCAGTTCATTTTCATCCTTCAGATTTATAGGAACGCCAGAGACTACTCGAAATAAGTGAAAGAAATTCATCACTCGACTTTTTCCAGGAAGCCTTTCCTTAAATTTAGATGGTAAATGCAGTTGCGAGTTTTTGGGGGTTTTTTGTTGTTGTTTTTGCTTTTTTTTTTTTAAGCAGAACATGCCATTTTCCTTTGAAAAGAAACCTCAGAATGCCTACTTGGGATTAACAGGGTGCTTTTACAATTTTTCAAGTAAGAAAGGAGAACTCACGTGATCCGTATCTTTATGCCTGTTGCCAGCTACTTTAAAATATCTGCTATAGGCCCTGTTAGATCGTTTTCAAAAGAAAGTGGGCACACCCAACCTAACTTAAATTCTCCTTTGCTTCCCCATGACATTACAGTGGCTTAACACAATCTGCTCTGCGTATGATGGGTTTCCTTTCAAGGCTTAACCCCATGGAGTCAGCACTGTACTCAGAAGCCTTCTTGTCTACCAACGGTGGGCCATTAAATCAATAGTACTTAGATGCCAGAAAAGCCCCCCTGAGAAAAAAAAAATTAACCTTTAACCGGTCTCCCTGTTCATTCTTTCCAGGCCAAAGTTTTTCCACCCTTTCAGACCTAGATTCTTTTTGATAAATAAAAGCTTCTCTAACATACACACCTGTGCATACACACACACACACACACACACACACACACCCCAATTGCAACTCCTATAGGTTTCACTACTTCTTTTTTTTTTTTTAAGATTTTATTTATTTATTTGAGAGAGAGAGAATGAGAGATAGAGAGCACGAGAGGGAAGAGGGTCAGAGGGAGAAGCAGACTCCCTGCTGAGCGGGGAGCCCGATGTGGGACTCCAGGATCATGACCTGAGCCGAAGGCAGTCGCTTAACCAACTGAGCCACCCAGGCGCCCCAGGTTTCACTACTTCTTTACCCTAGCTAGCCAGGCCTTTGTCAAGCTTCGTACCCTTTATGGGGGAGGGGGGACAATAATTGGTTTTAAAATTTTCTAATAGAGAATTGTAATTTCTAGTTACATAGGACACCCTTCCTACATCCTGGAGGTACATAGTCCCAGCCTTTATCTCTGGGGGAAGCCGTAATTTTGCAGGAAATGTAGAGGTGTGTCATACTTCCTCTCATCCTCTCTTCATCGGTCCGGCTCCCATGCCCCCACCCCAACAGCCTGCATCTCTGGCACTCTTGGGTCATATCCTTGGCTTTCGCTCAGGGATGGCAATTAGAAACGACAATATGAAACTTGCCATATGTCATTTATTGTAGGGGCGTTTATAAAATTGTGATCCATAACATCATTCAATGGCCCCCGTAAGAAGACTCAAACAAGATGTTTCAGACCTATGAAGAAAAGCTTTCTTTCTTCCAAGGAACTGGTAAGCTTTTACAAATGGGTGACAAGAACGATTTCAAATGATTGTTTTTCTATTTACTTTGGCCACCAGGAAACTCAGGACCAACTTTATGGCCTTAAGCCATAAAAGAACCTGTAAAAAAATGAAATCAGTCCCCTTTGTAATTACGTACGGGTTTCCCCCAGTGCAGTGGTTCTCTATGCTGAAGGCACATCGTCACCGTCTGGGGAGCTTTAAAATTACCCAGTGCCCAGTACCAAGCACTCAGTTGCCAGCGTAGGAGACTGTGATTACACTGGTTCAGGGTAGGAGCTCAGGCATCAGTGGTGTCATTGGTTTCCCAGGTGATGCTAATGTGTATTTTCTCTGCCAGTGGTTCCCAAACGTTACTGCACATAGGAACACCCAGGGGAGCTTTAAAACTATTATTCTCTACCCCCACCCCATACACTGATCTATTTGATGTGGGGTACCACGTGGACATCAGGATTTTTAGAGGCTCTCCAGGTGATTCTATCTAAGGTACAGCAAAATGTAGGGATCTCTAGCCTAGTTAAATGATCCTGATTTTTTAAATTTAGACAAAATTGCATATTATAAACACACTCAAATCCTTTGTGGAAGGAGATAGGATGTAAACAAATACATTTAATGTGACTAGTATTGCTGATCAGTTCTTCTTACGCCCCACCACTTGGAAGTCTCAGAATAGCAATCCAGTTTTTTTGGGGGGGGGAGGGGATAGTGCAGGAGGACGACCCTTAAGACAAACTATTTGGCATTCTCATCCAAACTGTTGTTGCATCTTCCAGTCAGGTTCACATCTACCCAACAATTGCATAGAACCTGACTTGTAGGTTGTTCTCTAGAAGTTTTTCCGTTCTGTTCACTTTGGAGGCTGCTTTAAACATCTAAGATTTGATACTATGGGTGTTTGGTAAATGCTCTTCATTGGGTCATCAGAAATGAAAAATTAGCAAGAACGATTTTAAAGTACAACGGGTAATCACAAATAGGAAATATTTTAATGTTAAGCCTCTTTACAAATTGAGTTGGTTTAGCTAACTATGTGTATCTTAATCAAGCCTGGGAAGTACCCAAAGCTGAATACATAGTGTCACATATTTGCATAAATTTCATATAAATAACACTACGTTTTTCTCATCAATTTTTTGGTGACTTGGGTTCTTTAAAAAGAAAGCCCATGAAACAATCCTTTTGAAGATGGCCATGTACCTGTAAAAACTGGTGTTATCTTGGAACTTAGCTGCATTCATTGACACATAGAGAAGGCTCACAAATTTAAGGTGTTTATGATTACACATGGAAATAAACCATGCTTCAAACTGTTGAGGAGTATAGAGATGGGTAACAAAGAAAGGCTTGTAAATAACTAATCTTTGTGTATAAAAATAGCTAAGCTTTTTAAGAACCACATGTTGAACACCTATGTGCTCTTCATTCTAGAGCTCCAAAAATATCTGAGACGTAGATAACAGATTCCTATTTTTTTCCCCAGTGTGACTAAACACTTGCCTCTTAACTGGCTATCTTAGCTATTTTCCTTTTTTTTTAGATTTTATTTATTTATTTGAGAGAGAGAGAGCACAAGCAGGGGGAGTGGCAGGAGGAGAGGGAGAAGCAGACTCCCCCCTGAGCAAGGAGCCCGCTATGGGGATCCATCCCCGGACCCTGGGATGATGACCTGAGCCAAAGGCAGACGCTTAACTGACTAAGCCACACAGGCGCCCCTAGCTATTTTCCTTTTTAAATAATATTTCTAAAATATCTAGATTTGTTTCCACATTTTTACTCTACTTTCCCTTATTTTTAAATGAATCTTTTTATTGAATTATGCTGTTGTTTTATTATATTTGTTTCCTTCTCCCAGTTGGGATGTTAATTGCTGCATTTCTATTCTTTTACTGTTTACTTTTACCATTTTGTATGCATGCCTAACTTAACAAATCGAAAGTTAGTATCTTAATCCCCCATCTGAACAGTAGAAGAAGCTTAAAACACTATTTTTTATTAACTCTTTCCATGGTCTGTTACTATCCAGTTTCATTCCGTCCTTTTTTAAACCACCAAATTAGTTATTTTCATACTTTTTTCCTTTTTTTTTTGGTTTTAGCAATGTGTTTTGTGGTTCCGTTTCTAAGGATTATTTGTTGCTTCTTAGACATTCATCTGAGATCATTTTCCTTCTTCCTGAGGAACAGACTTTAAATTTTTTTTAGTAAAGGCTCATTGGCGATAAACTCTGTTTCTGTTTATCTGAAAATGTCTCCATACACAGAAGATAATGAAAATTATATATTAGAAGCAGACTCAGAGTGGTTATGGAATGTAGAAAGATGTAAATAAATCTTCTTAATGTGACTAGTGTCATCAACCTACCCAACCCCACCCCTCTAAAGTCTTGAGTTTGTGAATAATTTGGGGGGCAACTGGGGGTCAGGACAACCCTTAAGAAAAACTCCATAGTCTTATCCAAGGTGAAAGGATGATCTCATTCTCTATACTTTGAAGATGCTATTCCTCTGATTTCTGGCTTCCGTTGCTAATGATGAATGGGCACCTCTTAGTCTAATTATTGTTCCTGTGTAGGTCATTTGTTTTATCTTTAGCTGCTTTTCTTTTTTTTTT